CAGCTACACTGCTGAATTTGTTGATTAATTCAAGGAGTCTTTTTGTGGAGTTTTTTGGATCTTCCATGTAAAGTATCATGTCATCTTCAAATAATGATAGTTTTACTTCTTCACAAAGGCAGGATATGAACGGAACAGTCTGCCTCCTTGGGCTGAGGTGCAGCCACCATGTGGCTGTCAGGACTTGTATCACCCACGATGGAAGTGAGATGAGGACAGAGTTTTGAAAAGCAAAGAGAGCAATAGTTCAGTGAAGAAGACTATGAAGAAATTATCAGAGAGGTAGGAGGAAACTAGGACAGAGGCAATGTTAGGAAGGAAGAAGATGACAGTATCCATGCCACAGAAATGTCTTGGTAGAAAACAACTGGGAAATGTCCATTAGGCTTGAATAGAGTTCTGCTTAGCCAGAGTAGAGCTCAGGAAATAAGAAATTGATAGAAGCCAAGTTGTTGGGGGTTGGGAAAAAACTGAATGGTAATTGGACAGAGCAAGTTAAATTGTGGAAGTGACCTTCCTTTAAAGGTAAGTGTTAAAATAGCAAAATTCTCATCCATGAGGGAGTTAGAGATGAGGTTGTCTACTTGAGTAGTAGGAAGGTATCTAATCAGCATCTTAGGCTACAAGCAGTAAAGAGACCAGTTTTTTAAAAACATTTCCATTCATTGTGGATCATTATCAAAAACACAATAAAAATGATTTATTAGAAATGCCATGTACTTAGCTATCACATCATATCAAAAGGCTATAGAAGTTACTTATTGTTTACACACATTTAAAAAATTATATTAGTATATACAGTATTTGCAATACATACTAACTACATTTATCATGAGGAATTGGTATATATTGTACCCTGATCCTTACCTCTTCTCAGATGTGTAACAATTGGCTTTGCAATTGGTTTTTGAACCAGGACCTTAGGCTGCACTTTGTGAACCAAGAAATCTTACATGAGGTTAAAAATAAAAGCAGTGGTAGATTTTATTGAGGATACAAGAATAGATTTGTAAACTGGGAGAAACTGGTTCAGTAAGAAAACAAGCATATTCCATTAAGGGGAAGGGGAGCTAGATTTTAAAGGGAAAGGGGGACAAAGGAGTGAGGTGAAATAACTTGTTTTGAACCATTTCTGATTGGCCCTGTCAGTTACACGAGGTGTTTTGAGCAATCTAGGTTAGTGCTGCAGGTCTGCTCAGACATTAGGCTGCACAGATTAGTTGTTAAACGGCTGCTGGTTGGGAATTATCGGTAAGCAACAAGTCTTAAAGCGATCAGTAAATCATCAGAAGTTCCATGATGGGAGTCTCTTGCAATCTTTGATCTTGCTGGTACATTCCTTAGAGACAGTGTTTTCCCCTAGGAATTAAAGACTGAGGAATTTGTCTCTGCCAAGTTCAACCTGCGAGGCTCAAAGAAAAGTTTTGCTGTCTCTTGATCAAACTGCAATCATCTTAATTTTTATTTTGCACACTTTTCAAGTTGATGTTCCATTGTGAATAACCTAGACTGTTTGGTTTCTTCGACATGCTGATTTTCTCCCTCTCCTTCTTCCTTACCATGTTTCATTGTATAGCTGAGTTTTTGATTCTTTTCATATGGTTTAGAAGTTCTTTTGAAATTTCATTTATCTGGCTAGCTTTTCCTCTGTTTTTATATATAAATGTTATTTGCCTAAATTGTATTTTGTCTTATTTTCTAATTTATTTTTTACCTTTTTCTTGTTGTTGTTCCTGACAGGGAGGTGAGACTTGGGTGGCAGGCAGTGGGAACATTTCACTCTAGCAAGGAGTATTTTATCATTGATATTGTTGAGAATGGTGGACACATGATGTTACGTTCTTAAATGTCTTTAAATTTCTCCCAAAGACCAGTAAGCTAAACGTTGTTTGCCAGCCTCTGGAGCTAGTAGAGGTGGTGGAGTCTTCAGGAAGTGGGGCCTAGCAGGTGGAAGTTAGTTCCCTGGGATGCGGCCTTGAAGGGCATGCTGGGACTGCAATCACTTCCTGTCTCTCTTTGCTTCCCGACTGTCATGAAGTGAATAGCCTCTCCTGGAGTATACTCCCACCTTGATGACCTGTGCCACCACAGGTCCAAAACAGGGCCACATAACCATCAGCTAAAACCTCTGAAATGTAAGCCAAAATATATCATTTTTCTGTTTAAGTTGATTATATCAGTATTTGTCACAATGACAGAAAATTAAAACTCACAGGGCTTCCACTGCTCTCCTGGTAGGCCAGTGGCCTTAATTTCAAATGAAGAATGAATGTACTTTGAATTTTTGCATAATTTCTAATTAAAATAGATTGAAAATATCATTATTTTTACATGTTATAGGCCAGTGACTACTATTCAAAGTCTTTAATGTTTGATCCAGAAAATGAATATGTTCTCATGAATCGAGCTATTATAAATACAATATTAAGTAAATATGAAGATGCAAAAGAAGATTTTGCATATGTAATTGACCACTGTCCCTTTTGGGCTGCAGCATATTTTAACAGAGCACATTTGTACTGCTGTTTAAAACAATATGAACTGGCTGAGGAAGATCTTAGTAGAGGTATGTTTTTTGGAAACTATTTTGATAAGATTAAAGTGGTTGAAATGCTTGTTTTTAGACTACAAAAGAAAAATCATCAGGTGTGTTTGTCTTGATAAACTTACACAAAATCAGTGTGTTTAGATAGCATATCTGAAATGTAACCAATATAGATTCCTTTATGTAATATCTTAATGTAAAATTTTGGTAAGCAGAAATACAGAGAATTATTAGGAAACTATATATAAGCAATGCCAATCTTTCAAAGAAAGCCACTGTATTGTGGTTTCCCAAATTAGTTTTCTTAAGAAGAGTCAACATTTTAGATTTAACTGAAGTTTTGCAGTTGAAAAAAAATGGTCTCAAATCAAAGTTCTTATAAAATTTTTATTTATAAAAATGAAACTATTTTTGAGTGCTTACATAAACTCAGCTTGAAATTTGTTTCTTTTTCAGCACTGTCTCTGAAGCCTAATGATGTGCTGGTGTATAACCTCAGAGCAGAAGTTCGTGGTAAAATAGGTCTGACTGAAGAAGCTATGGCTGACTACAACCAAGCACTTGATCTTGAAGAGTATGCCTTAGTTACCTGAGTTCATGGACTGTACTGTGATTTCTATGGTAGCTTACATTTACATGGCTATTCTTGCTGAAACCAAAGTGTGTGTGTTCAGAATTTTGCACTACTTTCTGCATTTTCTTCTTTGTGCTTAGTCTTTTATATTGCCCTTTAATGTATTTTAACTTAGATGATTTTCTGCATATTTCAAATATATCAGTAATTGAATTTCTTCATAAAAGGCAGAATTTAAATGAGAATGTTTCTCAAGGAATATGAATGCTTAAAATATTTTCTCTAAAGTAAAATAATTTCCTTTGAAGTCATATGATTGTAGAAAAAATATTATCAACTTTTTCATGATTTCCTACTCAGAATGTATTCAACAGTATCCAGATAAAGGATAAATATCAGATGATAACTATAAAAATGTTAAAATTATGCATATTTCCTCTTTTCTTTAAATAATGTATATACTGACCTGTTTTCTTTCTGATACATTTTTCCAGCAGATAAACATATCTCTCTTTTTCATGTTTCTTTCTTTCTAGGATAGTGTCTATAAAGATTTCAGGCATCCAGTGTTCTGAGACAATCTTTTCTGCCTTTTTAGTTCTGAACTCAAAGATGCATAAGTAAATACAGATTGCATAAGTATACATCAAAATCTGTCTACACTTGTGGTTGGTGCTTCATAGCAGTAGATGAGTTAAAAATTAAAACAGCTAAACATTCTTTATAGAATGTCTCTAAGAGATCTTTGAATCAACCAGAGAACTCCTTTCTTTTATCTCACTGATGATAAGCGGACTTCTGGACTTTTATTTCATTCAGATTTGCTTCACCTGGCTCATGTTCTTTCTTGGTATATTTTTTCCCAGCATCTATCCAACTCCTCAGAGGTCTATTTCCACCGAGATACACATCTGGAAAGAATACATCTGTTTTTGGAAAGAACACATTTGTTTTTAGGTTAGTTGCAGATTTTTACAATAGAAGTTGATTTTAGTTTGTAAGTGACCATGCAGATGTTTCACAATATTTTGGGATAATTTTCCTTGTCACATATGTGGGTCCAGGAGTGAGTGAGGAATGGGTCATCCCTAGTGAGTCATATTACCTGGTGCATCAAACCCATGCAATCAGTTGATTCAGATCCTCTTTTTCTCACTGTTCTCAAGGCCCTGTTATCCCCACCTTAGTCACAGATGAGATTCAGACTGACTTGTACACCCGTAGACAGCACCTCTTCTTCTGCTGTGACGCACATCCCACATCACTCCCTGCTGGCCCGAGCTCCTCTGTCAGTGCTCAGAGGTTGGGTATGTGGGCTTCCCTTGGTGCCTGTCCCCCTGTACTGCACATGTGCAGGAGACCCAAATCTCTATCATAGGAACCTTTGATGAGGAGGAGAAGGGACAGGGAGATAAATTCATCTCCCATGCATCTCTAGGTGCTGGCCAGAGATACTTGATTTACATAGCTCCCTGAAGAATAGTCCTGGGAGATTAAGCATTCGGTTGCACTTACTGGGTAGCCAGTAAAATCACAAAGCATACTTCATATTAATGCTTTTGTTTTCCCTGCCTCCCTTCCTTTTCTCACCATCCCTGCTTCTCTGTGATTAAACTTGATAAACTAATGTCCCAAAATCATTTGCCTCAGAGTCTACTTTCTAGGGGAACCCAGAATAAGCCAACTGGTAATTTAATATTTTTTCCCTAACTGCACACTAGTACTTTCCACATAAAGCAGGATGTAATAACCACTGGGGAACCATACAAAGCAAGGATCGCAGCCACATAGTGGAGCCAGTCATGTGTAGCTTGCCAAAAGGCTGAACATCCCCTTGCTCATATTTCTTCACCTCCAAAGCTTCTTTATGCACTGATGGCATCCTACTGAAGACACCTATGGTGTTCCTTAAGAAGTATTTATCTCAGTCCACACAGAGGCCTGGTCAGAACTGAAGAGGGCTTAATGGTAGAGGAGACCCTTCAACCAATGGCAGAGAAGAGATGAGGAGAAACTATTCAATTCTCTTGGCTGTTGAGGGGTAATTTCCCTGACCTCCGTAGCATAGCATTCCAGATGCCCAGTGTATACATTCCTCAAGAGCACATATTTTGTTGGTTTCTTCACTTTCCTACCCCTCCTTACCTGACTCCTTGTCTTTTGGCAAAGCTCCCCTTTGAAATAAATCACTTGTACTCAAATCTTTATCTCAGGATGTGCTGGTAAAGGACCTGAATGTAAAATAGCATTGCCAAAGAAGAGGTATGAGAGCTGGATTCTGAGCAGGGTAACAGCTGTGGGCAGAGATGCTGAACAGTAAGGTCATCCACAGAGACTGAACATCTGCACAGACACACAGAAGCAGGAAAATGTGAAGCATCATTTGAGGAGAAGCTGGAGCAGAGAATTTCTGTGAGAAAATGGTGGGAGGAAAAATAGCTGTGCAGCAGAGTCAGATATGGAGGATCCTCACCCTTAGATAAAGGAATTAAAATTCAAAGAAAGGAGTTAACACTTGACTGTGTGTATGAGAGAGAGCGTGGCAGATGGGCAGAGAGGCGGTTCCTCTTCAGTCCTTTTGTTGCCCTCCATCGTCATATTAGGGAACTGGGGGTTTATAGCATCATCAATAAAAATTGGACCTTGGGAAATCGATGAGATTTTCTGTTTTGTATGGGCTGCTCTGTGATTGTTGTCCCAGACATACAAGGGGAAAGGCAGCAGGATGAGGGCAGGATGGCGAATAAGAGAGAAGGTGACTTTGCTGAGGTAGGCCTGGCACAGATGCCGTGAGAGGAGAGGGAAGAAATATCTAGACCCCTTTTTTCTTTTCCCTTTATAGAATATTGACCTCTTAAGCCATTCAGCTGAGCCTACATACTTGTCACAATTGCTAGAATTTATGGGGTTGGTGTTATGTTTTTACAATATATATATGATATAAGCACACACAGAGACATATACACATACACACATACACACACACACACACACACACACACACACACACACACAGAGCTTTCATTTTACCTAAAGGTAAAATTGGAGAGGAAAAGGAAGTGGGAAATTTTTTGCATTGTTTTACTTCTGTTACTTAATAAGAAAAAAGAGAGCAGAACTCCAGATGACTTTTACATTTAATTTTATGCATTTCTGTCATTTATAAAGGTTTTTGTTCACTTGTGTTTTCCCCTCTGTGATATAAGCTCTATGAAAGTAGATGCTTTGTCTTTTTTGTTTCATGTTATATCTCTCATACTTATGGGGCCTGACACTTCCTAGGTGTTCATGACATATCTGTTAAATACAAGTTATGAACACTATGAAGACAGCATTATTGTCTGGTTACTGTTTGCTTGTCACACGTCCTTTGGATATCTTGCATGTCTTCCATAAAATGAAAGATGAAAAGCTAAAAGTTTCATTTGTCAAATGTCAGCTAGCAGTCAGAGTTGCAGATATTATTTCCAACTGGATGCCATCCCATGAAACTGAATTGAAGTATTATCACATGAGTGACTTTTCTGCTGGTGTTAAAATAGTGTGTTCTGTGTGGCATGAATGTTTTCACATTCAGCAAAAAAAGTACAAGATTAGTTATTAAATCTAAATCTCAGACAATGAAAAATTCAAAACTGTAGTTGAACGGAGGTCACCCTCTTCAGTTTAAAATTTTTTTTCTGTGTATAAATATATCCCAACTATTGTATGGACATACTTTTATTGAAAATCATTTTGAACTTTAATAATTTCAGAAAAAAAAATTCTGAAATGAAACGATGCTGATCTGAAATTCAAATGTAGATAAATATCTTGTGGTTTTGCCTGGTAATGCTACTCCGAAGGCAGCATCATGACCATCCTTTCCAGTCATAGCCACAGATTACACATTTTCCTTCAGCCAGCACGTGCTGGGCCCATTTCTTCTCAGGTTCCTCTTTATGGAAGAGCAGTATCTCCTCCAGTGTGGCCAGTGTTTCTCTATTCTCCTGACGTCTTAGCGCACAGCCTGCTTCTCCTCACCTCCAGTGATGGGAGCTCTGATTTCCTCATTAAAAATATCTCTTCTTTCTTTAAATACTGGAATGGCTTTGGTTATCTGCAGCTGATTTCTGACTGATACTATGTTCCCAAGATTTTAGGCTTGTAAAAATAATTTAGAGCTTTATTTTTTCTTTTCTGATGGATGGAGTATTTTCTGCAATGAGGTATTGCATACTTTGGGCATGGGGAGGAGGTACTGGAAATTAGAATTAATCGTGATACTAGCCATGATTTTTTAGCACTTACTTTATGCCAGGTCTCACACATGTTGCCACTACTTTCTCAATAGTCCTGTGAGGTACTTGGCATGGCAGGATGAGGAAACTAAAGATCAGGAGGATTGAGTGATGGGATGAGGCTCATGCAGCTCGTGAATGGTGTAGTTGAATGTCAGCTCTTTTAGTTTCAAAGCACATTCTGTGCTTCAGGGCACGTATCACCTAAAAGAAAGAGAAATAAGCACGTAGTCTATTGAACAATCATTGCCACAAAGATAGTAGAGCTCTTTGACTGCCTACCTGGTGAGTTTTAGTGCAGAAAATGTATTCTGGGTCTTTAACACTCTTTTTTGTATTTATGCCTTTGTCTGTCTACCTATCTGTCCATTCATTCTAACTGTAGATAAATGCATAATTATATTATATGGGGTTTTTAATTTAAAATACAGTTAATGTATAATACCTTTTATCTTATTTTTAATATAAAAAGGCAGATAGAATTTGACAGTAGAAAGATCAGTATAATGCAGAGTATGAAAGAAGAGGAAAAGAAAAGCATCATTTATTAAAAATGAATGTAATAGACACTCATAAGGTTTAAGGACATTTTTCATTCATTCTTGCCAGAGAGACAGGCATTATCACTTTCAGTTTATAGAGAAAAAAAATATTAAGTACTATATATCAAATATAGAGGGTTAAATGGTAGAGCTCCTCTAATAGTATAATGATGTTACCCAAATTTGGTTCCATTTTATTTCTGGAACTGGTTCTTGAACCCAAGGCCTTTATACTGAGCTACATCCCCATGCTTATTCATTTATTAATTTTAGTTTTGAGACAGTGTCTTTCCAGATTTGCTAAGTAGCCCAGATTGGGCATGGATTTGTAATCCTCCTGTCTCAGCCTCCCAGAGTGTGTGTGCTACCATGTTCAGTTCCACTTTTATTTATTATGTAGATTTTCTTAAACTGATGTGCTAGTGTTGAATTGTTTCATTTTAAAAGAAGGAATTTTAAAACATAATCACATAGCTATTAGAAATGCACCCTTGTCATACCTAAAATCACCGCTTTTTAAATCAGATTTATTGATCTTACATTTTGGGAAGTACTATACTTCACAGTATTATTGCTTCAGAAGCATAGCTAGGAAGTAAACTTGTCTAGTGAAGGAGGGAAAGTCGCCTAATGCCTCATGAAATGGATGAGAGAGAGTGAGCAAGACACGGATGCCAATTGATTGTCTGGACAGACAAGGAAGAACCACATGCCGTTATCTTGAGAGTCCCTGTCTACATTCTTAGAGTGTTGTAATAAGGAGATCTCACTCCCAGAGATTTTCCAATGTCATAAAAATGTTTTCTCAGTCAATTTCTTAGAATTGTGTTCTGAAGATAACAGGAACTTTAATGACCATCCTCTTTGAGATCCCAGGCAACGTGCAACATCGCTTTCATCATTAACCTTTCCCTGGCTCACTGATTCTCAGGAAGGAATTTCTTCCCTATTTGGAAGGGGGCTCAGATCCTTCTGTTACGCAGTCCCCTGGCACCACTACCTGTGCTTTTGGAATGTCCTCATGTCTAAGTAGCCTTGTTTAAAGGCCATCTTCCTCACTAGATTGGAAATGCTACAGGGCAAGGATTATGCCTACCTGTTCACCAGTGTATCATCAATGCTCATCACAGTATCTGGCACATAGCAGGTGCTTCATAACCTTTTATGTATTTACTTTGATAAAAACTAGGCCTGAACAATAACACAGGGCCTTATGACCCAACACACTAGAAATGTATGTTTTACCATTTATTTCTACAATCACAAGAAGATACTGTAAGATTCCAGGCAAGTTCAGACTCAAATGATGAAGCAGGGACAGTATGCTTCCTTGGTGCTTTTAAAAAATTTAACATTTCCTCTGAATGGATAGGTCCTTGGTAGCTACACAGCTCTTGTGGTGTGTAATGCACACACAACCCTGCCTCCCCACCACATCCTTGAGATTACAAGGTAAGATAAATATTAAAAAATGAAATTAACAGAAATGAAGCAGTCATGGATGAGATTTTTTTTTTTTTGTAAAAATGATCCACTCTGAGGAATAGCCACCAAGTAGGTAACTGGAAGCAGAACTGTCTAGGTGATGAGAGTATGGTGTCTGAAATAGGGATATATCAACATCTAAATTATTGTGATCTTTGTAAATGAATGGTGACATAATCAAATTTTAACCCAATCAAATATTTTGCATAAGAGGCCATAACAAAGCTTTAATTCCTACCTTTTAAGAAAGATTGCATGGTGTGTGTTGAACCTGGAATGTGGGGAAAGGAAATGGTTACAGTGTAAACATTCACATGCATGTTCCTGGCTCTGTCTGCTGAACAGATGTTCTAAATAGTGGATAGGAACACTCTGATCTTTTGACCTTTTATTAGTTGGTAAATTCCAATAAAGTAAATGGAGCATACCATCGTCATGGCTTTTAATCCAGAAGGTAATTCAACTACTTTTCCTGATTCTATTTTATCCAAGAAAACTTCCAGTGATAATTTAGTCTTCCATGTGGACATGTTGAACAGAATACACAGTGGGATTCCTTTAACTTGTGAAATAAATCAGACATGTGCAGAATATTATTGATCACATTTTCACAGAAAGTCTTAAATGCTTTTCAAATACTAGCCTTTAACAGTGAGCACCATGAGGAATGGGATTGTTGGTATAGATTTTTTTGATGGAGTTTATGTGTGAGGTTTAAGTAATCCTGTTTTCTTTTTTCACTTATGCACTTCTGTGTTCTCTGATTTATTTTTCAATCATTGAGCACATCTTTGCTTTGTAAGAAAATACAAAACTCTCTCCCCTCCCCAAATTAAATAGTTTATTGGAGACAACAAGTAAAGGCACAATAGGTCCATGTTGTCTTTCCCCTGCAGGGAACTCTGAGCTAAAGCTGGGGGTGCTGGATCCTCTAGAGGTCTCGCTGATTTAGCCAGGTCCCGCTCACACCACACCTCAGGTTCATGTTTGCACCATGAGCATCTCTTAGGAAAAGATTAGCTTTAGTATGTAGTTAGATGGGGTTTTTTCTAAAATATATCTAAGATGATCATAGTTGCTTACATTTCTAAGAAAAATATGTTTTCTCTTCCATGCCTGTGGGTCAACTGGTTATTTCATCTTCTCAGAACTATAATTTTAATTTGCTTGCAAAAGGAGATGTTGGGTTGCAAACGCTTATATGATGATTTGCTTTACTTCAGAGCTTATACTTTTCTGATAGTATAAAGATCACCAAAGCCTATGATAAAGAGGAAAAAAATGAATCGCTGAAAACTTTGTTCCAACATACGTATTAACTTATGACACCAATTTTAATAGGGA